CGCAGTCATTTTAAAATCTTTAAAGTTTTTACCAAAAACTGGCGCATGCGTACCTATACATAAAGTTTTTTCCTAATGACTAAAAATGAAAAAGCTGCAAAGAACCCTTTTTAAATGGTGTTAAATTAGACGATTTTTTAATACTAAATCTTTGTTAATATATTAAGGCAAAACTTGTATATATTTTTCCTATACTTTTATCAAATTTAAAATCTAATCTAAACACACCAGTTTAACATGCGGTGTTTTGACATGAGCAAAAACGTGTTTTAAAAATGAACTTTTTTATTTTAGTTTTTACTTGAATCTATGAAAAAATAAGTGAATTTGTATTGAGTGCATTTATATACGAGAATATTAGACAACTTTGCGAATCAATTTCTTTTGTTACTTTTCCTATAAATCAGGCTTCGAACAAACTATGAATAGCAACGATCTGTTAATAATAAATCGTCTAACTAATAATAAGTATCTAAATGTAATTAGCAAATTCAAGTATTGCGTTTGATTTTTAAGAGGCGCCGTTATACATTACGCGAAAATAGATCGAAGTTACCATAACATCCATGTCAAAAATAAACATTAGATCTATACATACATATTTAAGGCAAGTTTTCTTATTCTCATGAATTCCTCAAATTTTAGTACTTAATGAGCCGAAAATTTAAGATTTTTATATAAATATATAAATATGAAATTATTAAATACAAAATTATTACTTTTGGTGAGTAAAATTATACTTACATTATCTTTATTTAATGTTTATAACCGTGAATACATAATACACAGTATAATGCCAATAAATTATCATTTAAATATAAAAGTAGGCACTTCAACATATTTTTTTAAAATGTATAATGAAAACAAAACAAATACCATAAGTTAAAACTAAATATTAACGTTTAAAAAATAACAAACTTATTGTTATATTAATATTAGTTGAAAACTTATGCAACTTTTGAACCATGAAATTTTAAACTTTTTTTTGCATAACTTATCACGTTTTTCTCGGTCGTTTACAGGCGCTACGTTTAGGTACGCATGCGTAAGAACATACTTTTAAAATAGCTACGGTTCTTAACTACAGAGAATATTTTATATTGGAACTGTCAATTTGTTACAAGATTTCTGAAAACTCAATAATGTAGCCTTATTTTTAATTTAGATCAGTATATTATTACAAAAATTTCACTAAAATATAAATAAAAAAGGGTAAAAAATATCTTAACGTACTTAAATTTCATTTTCAATCAATAACTTTTTAGTGTAAATGATTGATTTGTTTATTTATTTAAAATTAATTTTCTCATATTCTGAAATAGGATTTCAATAATTATGGTTAGCATCAAGAGTAACTTGACATTTTTATTTGAACCTTAAGTTTTCATTTAAAATTGCCAGAAATAACGCGTATTCATCCTTATTAACCCCTAGGTGCTACACAGCAGCAGTGTAGAACTTCACGCATGCGCATGAGAGATTTTGCGTTTCATGTGTTTTTTGAACCCAAACATTTTCAGTGAAATAAAAAATTCCTTTTTACTTCACTAACAATCATGTTGTTTTATAAAAAAAAAAATTTCTTAACTCGTCAATATTGCAACACATCTAACTCGTCAGTATGCCATCATAGAAAGAATTCATTATTTTCATTTAAACCTTGTTTCAATGAAAATAATGAATTCTTCCTATGATGGCATACTGACGAGTTAGATGTCTGCCTTGTTCAAAAAATGAAATTAAAACAAGTATTTCACTAAATGCACAAAACCTGAAAATAAATTGCATGAAAACTTTATTTCTTCACTGTTAATTATAAAATCACAATCTTAAATTTGATGATACGGCTATTTTATGCCTTCTTCTTGCTCCAGCCTATGGTACTTTTTATATTGTTTTACTTTGTGAATATTTTTAACGGCGATATAAACTAATAAACTAAAATATTTAAAAGGATTAAAAATACATTAGCACGTTCCAAAATCAATTTTTGTTGATTAAGAAAGCAATATTTGTGCATAAAAGATGTATTTTTACTAAAACTAATGTAAAGTCAGTATTGACATGTTAGCCTAATCACTTTTTAGCCATAACCAATATTTATGAAAATATAACAAGTATGCCATCATAGGCGTTTATATATATATATATATATATATATATATATATATATATATATATATGTATATATATATATATATATATATATATATATATATATATATATATATATATATATATATTCATATATATGTGTGTATATATATATATATATATATATATATATATATATATATATATATATATATATATATATATATATATATATATATATATATATATATATATTCATATATATGTGTGTATATATATATATATATATATATATATATATATATATATATATATATATATATATATATATATATATATATATATTCATATATATGTGTGTATATATATATATATATATATATATATATATATATATATATATATATATATATATATGTGTGTGTGTATATGTATATATATATATATATATATATATATATATATATATATATATATATATATATATATATTAAATTATTTTAACATATATATATATATTAAAATAATTTAAATGCAAAAATATAACTTTATGATGGAACTAAAAGTTTCATACCATTCGGCAATCATCAGTCATATTATTTAAATAAAAAATAAAAACCGTTGTAAAAAATACAAATTTAGCATTACAACGGCATGCAGCTGTAACTAATTTTTATTGTGTTTTGTGTTGAATATTTTGTGGAGCTTATGATGTAATGAAAAATGCAAATCAATTAAGTTTAAGAAAAGATGTCCAATTTTTTTATTACATTTTTACTGTAAGGAGGGTTAAATCATATAATATTTATTTTTCGTTTATTAGTAATAGAAGAATTTAGATTTGAATGTTATTGAAGAATGGTGTGAAATCCAGATTTTTCTAATGCGTCATTATAAATTGGAACAGTCTTTTGAAATATTTTTTCGCTTAAAGAATCGGAAGATAACCTATGTCTAATTAGACATAGGTTATCTTCCGATTCCAACCATCCACCAAGCATTTTAAAATAAATTACAATTCTCAATTAATTGAGAATTGTAATTTATTTTAAAATGCTTGGTGGATGGTTGGAATTAGCATGGATATAATTTAACGTACTATCAGGTTTACGGTAAGGTTGAAAAGTGTTGTTATTAAGATTAAATGTAACATCAAGGTAATTAACAATTTCCATATTAGATTGAATGGAAATACTGAGGTTATTTTGTTTAAATATTTGAGTAAAATGCTTCTTAATTTTTTCCATTTTTGGACCGCTTACGTTTTTAAATACGGCTAAGCCATTGTCTCTATATAATTCAAAATCAGTTTTATTATAAAATTGCAAAATCTGGAAAAGAAGAAAAATACCAACTAATTTGCACACCTCCGCTTCATCAAATTCACCCATGTTAACATCAAACAAACCACCTGATTTTTTAATCCAAACTTGGTCATTAGTAAATAATAAAAATTTAGGCGCGTGGAGAATTAAAGATTTATGATCAGCATCAATTGAAACGTATTGTTCTGCAAATTTTACGGAATCGATAAGTAGCTTTTCATTAATAGAAAGGTAAAAGTCATCAATGTCGAAAATAAGGAATTTATGAAAATGTTTGTCATTGATGTTTTTGAACCAATTTATTACATTTTGTGTACTATTCCACTGATTTAATTGCAAAATATTTCTAAGTTTGGTGTTAATACCTGATAAAATATGCTTACTTATTCTACCCACATCATTCTTAGCTGGGTTAATTAGACGAACAGTAGGATTAATTAAAAAATTAGGTTTATGGCCTTTAATGTAATGAAACAATTGGAAGAACTGTTTATATAGATTTTGTTAAAAACTTCATGATTTTTAAAAATAGTTTTTCCTTCTTTATTAATGCGATCTTTTATTAGAGGGTTGGTTTTTTTATAATTAGATGTAGTGGCGTTCATTAATAATTTATTGTATTCGTCTTTTGATAATTTAAGTTTGATGTTTTGTCAGCGTGAGTGTAAGTATACGTTGATTTTCGAATAGTAGAAATATCTTTTTTTAATTTATTTTGGAAGCTACATTAAACAATCTTAAACTGTATGTTTTTAATTAATTTGATTAAATCGCATTCAAATGCACGCTTATCATTAATATGTTGTGAACATTGCGGTGTGTTAATACCATAAGAACTAAAGTTGGTATTATTACTACTATTATTTATATTATTCATACCGTTAGACTGGTTTTTCATAAAGAAAAATGCCTTCCATCTCATTATTTTAATCATTATCTCGATTTTTTCAAGCAATCGCAGTTTGTATTCTCTATTTGATGGTATAGGTATATTTTTTATTGAATAATTGAAGTTAATTTTCTCCATTTTTAAAGACTTAATAATATCAATTGTAAAAAATGAAGTCTTATGTACTTCCGCGTATAATATAATAATAATAATATCAATTGTATGTCATTATTAGTACCGCAAGTTGTTATTATATATATATATATATATATATATATATATATATATATATATATATATATATATATATATATATATATATATATATATATATATATATATATATATATATATATATATATATATATATATATATATATATATATATATATATATATATATATATATATATATATATGTATATATATATATATATATATATATATATATATATATATATATATTATATATTACATTTATATCGTGTTTCATCATAATGATTCATTAAATGCACGAGCCTTCAGTTTGCAAAATGAAAAGTATTTAATAAAACTTAAAATGACAAATTCATAAGACTATCACGTGATCAGTCACAAGATGGCTTACTATTCTTTTTCTTTTATCTCAAATTCCATAAAATTTAGAAACTATTAATTGAACCCGTCATTTCGAAAAGGGCACAAATCACACTTTTTTCGAATTTCACTTTTGAATGCAGTTTTTTTAATTTAGTTGTGTTACATATTCCCTTTAAAGGAGACACATTTTCATATACCACAAGTCAACTTTAAATGCAAATGAAAATTCAAGTCTATTTGAAAATGGCACAAGTCCCGGACTTATGCCTTTTTCAAGTGAAACGAAGCGCAACTGAAGTGACGTAATCTAACTTTATTTGTTACAAAAATGGAAAATCGCGAGCTTGCTGAAAATGCATATACCTCTAGAAAAAGAGTATCTGGTATAAGGAACAGTGAAAATTATAAACACTCAAAAATAAAAAAAGCCAAAGTGTCTGGAGAAGCTTATAAAAACCACAAAGGAAATGATGTGGCACCAAGGCAGACGGGTGCTTCATGCAAGTTAGTTTTTTGTTCTACAAAATACATAGAATATAGACTATATTTGTTCTCAAGTTTTTGTTTATTTACTCATGTTTTACTACCAATATTTGAAGTTAAAACATCTTGATATATAATTAATAAAATATTACATTGATAGTTTCTTTTATTTACAGATGTAATTCAAAATGTATGGAGCTTGTATCTGAAGATGTTATGAAAAGTACAGTTCAGTTTGTTAACAAATTCGATAGTAAAAATGCCCAAGACACATACTTGCAGTCATTGATTGAAAAAAAGGAAATAGAGAGAAGACGGTTTAGATCTGAAGAACCTAAGAAAAAAGAATTTTCCTTTATTTATCACATTATGATTGAAGGTGTGAGAAAAAAAGTATGCAAGAAAGCTTTTTGCAGTATGCTTGGAATTTCTATAAAACAAGTTAAACGTTTATGCATTTTCTTAAAATAAAATGAGCAGCCTATAGATCACAGAGGGAAATCCCAGGGATCACGATGCAACTCATTACCTGGTGGTACATTAACAAAAGTACGTGAGCATATTGAATCATTTCCTGTTAAATATGTGCACTACTATAACAAAGATGCATCATCTTATTATTTGGATGAAAAACTCAATGTGAAAATTATGCACACATTATACGAACAAAAATATCCAGATCATCCTGTTAAATATAAATTTTACCTTAAATATTTCCAAGAAAATTTTAGTTTATCGTTTGGTAGAAAGCAAATTGATGTCTGTGGACTGTGCGAAGAGTTACAAATTAAGCTTAAAAACCCACACCTTAATGACAATGCGAAAAGAATTTATCAAGCAGATATTGAGATACACAAAACACAGGCAAACAAATTTTACAAAAAAATTCAGGAAGTTGAAACTAAGTGCAAAAATGATCCAAATGTGTATGGGATAGCATTTGATTTTATGCAAAATTTGCCACTTCCACATATCCCTGTCCAGGAAATATTTTACCTACGTCAACTATGGTTGTATGAGTTTTGCATATACGATTTAAAAACTGGTAAATCAGTATTTTATTCATATTGTGAAGGAGTTGCTAACAAAGGTCCCAACGAAGTATGTACCTTTGTGCTGGATTATATTAAAAATAATATTGGCAACGAAGCCAAAGCACTGCACCTATTTTCTGATGGTTGTGCAGGCCAAAATAGAAATCATGCCATGATCCGATTACTTTTATCCCTGGTAGCTGAACTAGGTAGCAATATAAATGCAATACAATATTACCTACCAAAAAGATGTAACTCATTCTTGCCAAACGATAGAATGTTTGGAACAGCAAAGCGACATATTCGAAAAAATGATCGGATTTACACACCAACCGAGTATGAAAATCTTATATGCGAGGCAAACGAAAAATTTGAAATTAGAAGGCCTAAAACTGAAGATATTATTGATGTAAAAAAATGGTGGCCAAACCATTATAAGAAACTTGTGCTATCTGTGGATTCCTACGGAAGAGGAGTACCCAAGAACAAGAAAGTAACTTTTGGTATTTCTAAAGTGTCACATTTTATTTTTTCTAAGACCACACCAGGTTTAGTGACAACACGAGAATCTATAGATTGCTTAGTCAGTTATGATTTCCAGCTATTACAAAGGATGGGTACAAGGCCAACCTTGCCATCAAGTAGTACTCCTGCATATGCTGGAAAATTGCCTATCAATGAAAAAAAAATATCAGATTTGAAGGAAATAGAAAAATTCCATATTCAATAGAAGAGTATCAAAACTTTTAAACAGAGGTTTTTGCTTGGCCAACAACTTCTGCAAACAATGAATTCCAAGAAATAAGTGACGATTAACTTGTTTTAATGTAATAATAAATCATTATTATTCTGATAATCTTCGGATTTTTATATACAACATAGTGTTCATTTCGAAAAAGGCATAAGTCCATAAATTTAAATTTAAAATATATGTACTATATGTTTATTTTTTATAAAAAATAAAACTCTAAAAAATTTATGCATCGTTTTTTTTATCTACTTCTATATTTAGTTTGTTTAGCACCATAGACTTTTTTTCTAATAAACTTATTTTTGTTGATGCTGAAAAGTTTGAATAATTGGACTTATGCCCTTTTCGAAATGACGGGTTCAATTATTCTATCTAGAGTATAAAAAAAAATAAAAAAGCATTGCAAAAAAGTATTCTTAAAATAATTACAAAAAAAAAAAAACGGAAAAGAAACATTTGCAATATAAAGATAGACTCCGTCATCTCGACTTAACTACACTTAAAAAAAGGAGATTTCGAGGTGATCTCATTCAACAACTTAAATTTTCAAACTAATTACTAATTTATTTTCAAATCTAATTACTAATTTATAATTGCTCTGTTCTTCTCTGTTCTGGGGGAAGTACCCCAAAAATGTTAAAACTCATGTTCAAACAGTAAAATTGATATTAAACAGTATATAATGTAAAAATTTTATATTTCAGAATTAAAATTTTTAAAAATTGTGCTTTGTTGCCATGGTAACCAGGAAAATATTGGAAAAATAACCAAAAAACAGTCAATGCCCCGGCTAACTTATCCGAAGAACTACATATATTCAAACTGTCATATTGCAATTCCCATTAACTAATACTTTGAACTATGATCTGAACCTAAAATTTTATAAAAAATATGACAGTTAGTTCTTCAGGGGGCAAATATATGATCATTTAATGAATTTGGGTCAAAATTAGGCAACTGAAATAGGCATAGAACATGTTCTGTCAAGTATTTCGTAAAAGTGGAGCTTCAAAAAGTATATAATAAGATAATTACTGAAAATTTCATCATTAAACACCAAGCGGTTCCAAAGTTATCACAGCCAGGGCATTTAAAAACCTTATTTTGAAAAAAACGCAAAAATAGAAAAAAAAAATTTAAAATTTCACAAAAAATATGAAATATAACTAAATTATATTTAAAATAATGTTTCAGAATGACCCAGGGGCATACTGACTTCCTTCAAAGTTTTCATATTTGTCCTTTGATGCTTTTGACAACCCTCGTAGAATCTTTCGCCGCTTCTTGGATGACTCTAGATTTTTATAACCAGCTAAATAAATACGTTTTCAATTTTGATTATCCCACAACCTTGATGTATATATCCCAGGTGTCATGTTTAACTGTTTATAAATTAAAAGAGAACTTTTTCTCCCAATATTAAAGTTTGCTACAGCATCGTATGTTCCAAATTTTTACTGCATTAGGCTGACATACTTTGTCTTTGGAATTCGATCCCAAATCATTGCATTTAGACTTTCGTTTTGATTTTGTGTCTGCCCATGCAAACATTTACGTAACAAAGACTCCTCACTTAAATCTGCATATATTGGTTTTAAATGTTTTATAATTGATAGTGGAAGTCCTGGTTTGTATGTTGATTTGCCTGTTGCTTTATCTTTCTGATATCTGCACCAACTGTTTTCACCAATTGGACAGTGAGTGTGCCAGTTATTTTCCTTTGATGAGGCAACATGAAAAAGTGTAGCATGAATGGATTTCTTCATGCCTTGTAAATTTTTTTTATTACTCCTCACCGTAATCCCATAATAATTCTGAAGCTTATCAATAACACTGTTTGTTAACTTTCCACGGCCACAGAGGTTTTTCATATTTTTTTTTAATGTTCTTAGACATGCCCCAACTTGTTTCTGAACATACCCAACACATTCTAACTTTTCAACTTCAACACCAGGATAAGTAAATTTCACAGCTGGATAACTTTTACTGTCACCATCTCCATAAAATTTAGTATACTGCAATCCGTATTCTTTGACAGATCTACTAAATATATGTTTGGCACCAGTCACTTCCATACTTCCTGCTGAGCCAATACAATTTACATTACAACTATGAGACTTGTACCAATTTTTGTAGCTCTCTAAATTCTTTGATTTTAAATCTTCACGTAGTTGACATTGCTTACAAAGTCTACTCATTGGCTCAACATCTAACACTTTTCCATTATCCATCGACAATGTTGTCACAACTCCATTCAGTGAACTGTATCCTCTACGTTGCCAAGTTCCATCAGTTGAAACTCTAGTATCAACAATATTGTTGCTATTAACTTTTATTTCTTTTGCAGCCTCAAGCATTGTTTCTTTAGCAACTGTAGTAACAGCATCAGTAATAACCTTTACAGAGCCATTGTAATTTTTCTTATTCATCGGACTTGGGAGGTTCATTAATGCAGAAAACTTTTCAAGTCCTGAATACCCTTGTCCAATTGATCTCATGCTATATACAATACAAAGATTAATATCATGAGTGCGGTTACAAACTTTAGATGTATAGAAACCTTTACTATATCCACAAACACTGCAGCAACATATTAAATTTGAAGCATACCCTTTTTTTTTCATAAAGTTTTCTTTCAATACCAAGCTATTATCGTTAATACACTGTGGACAACATAAAGATTCAAATATAGTGTTTAAAATTTCAACATCAATTATTCTATAACCATTTATTTTTTCATCATTTTTATTTGGAATATCATTTTTAATATATTCAATCTTGGTGGCTGATCTTGAAGAACTAGTATCAATGTCTGAATATTTTTTTGAATTTGTCATTTATGTTGGAGATGATAAAGTATGTTGGTTACCACAAAACACTCTTTTCTTTCCAGTAACTTTAGTTCTTTGCTTGACTCTATCTTTTCTTCCCATAATTAAGAATAATTTTTATTTAAAATTGATAAAATACTTGTACTTATTACACTTCACAACTCATATAAACAAAGTAAATTAAGCATTTAAGGAATGTAAAAAAACTAAAATAATTAGAGGCAATCGAGTCAAACTTAATTTAAGCAGAGTAGATAATTAAAGTAAAGACAAAGTAGATAAATCCATTTTTATAAGCCTCTGAAATAAGCAGATAAGCAGAAGCGTTATCGTTGCTATGTGCGTTGCTATGGTTAAACTTGATGAGTATGGTTCAAAAAATTGAAATTACTCCACTTTCTTGACATTATTTGCAAAATATCTTTATTTCATTGTGTTCTTCATTAATTTTTGCTTCCAAAACAATCAAAAAAAAAATTTTCAATTTTTACTTAATTTATAAATATTTTTTAAAATTATTTAAATATATATATATATATATATATATATATATATATATATATATATATATATATATATATATATATATATATATATATATATATATATATATATATATATATATATATATATATATATATATAATATATTATATATTATATATTATATATATTATATATATAATATATATATTATATATACAGGAAACCAGGAATAAGTCTATATGTACTATTTTATATATATATATATATATATATATATATATATATATATATATATATATATATATATATATATATATATATATATATATATATATATATATATATATATATTAATTAACGAGAGTTATGGTTTTTTTTTTTTTTAATTCTTATATTTGCCGTACATATAACATTTACAAGTTTCGTAAATTAAAGGTGTAATATTTACAAGTCTCTTGAGTCAAAATATATAGTGAAACTTATAATTAAATAGTACAGGCCGGACTTCAAGAAGATCTTAATGATTATATCACGAAGCCCTTACAATGTGTTTGATATATATTATGATAATGTTAACTATAAATATATATTAAGTACAACTATATTTTTATAATTTTTAAATTAGGCTCATAATAAAAAATAAACTCAAAATAAGCTCAGTATGAAAAATTAAACATAACAAGCAGCATAATAACTAAAATTGATAAGAAAAAATCAAGTGTTATTTTTTGTGTGTTTGTAATAAACAATTTTTGATATATTGTTTGAGAAAGGTAAGAGTCATTTAGATAATACGCATAACGAGTTAGATAACGCATAAACGAGTCAGTTCACTTTGTAGTTGATATATATGTAATTTAATTTATAGTCTTAGAAGAATTCAGAATATCTGTTTAGATTCAGTATCAGATTTTTTAATTTTGATTATCTAGATTGCAAATTGATTTATTTTTAGTTATTAGTTTGTTGTATAAATAATTTTCATACCAACGTGTGTTTAAACCTTATTTCAAAAAACTTGCTCAATTAAATTAATTAGTAACTAGTTTTCTTATCATTTTCTGCTTCTTTTATAGTACTTTTACAAGTAGTTTTACTAGTACTATTGCGAAATTATACCCATAGCTAAAATAAACATAAAAATACCGATTAAATCTAAAAATCATAAATGGCTGACTAAATCCTAATTCTAAGGCGTTATTATTGTTTAATAAAATTATTCACGTTAAAAAAATAAATGCCTTTAAAGCTTTCTTTTGAGATTTGTAAATACTTTTTAATTAATTTAATATTTAGTTTCAGACAAATTTAAATATATAGATGAATTTGACGAAGTACTTTTAATAATCTAGTTAATGAATTAAAAATCTACTTCTGATAAATATTTTTGTTTGCAGCATGAACTATTTCATATAGTCTCCTTATACCATCAACTTTCACAAACATTTATAATACTTCGATGATTTTTGTTTTTTATTTATTAATATTTGTATGAATTTTGTTCTTGTATGTTGTCAGCAGCAACCCATGTTAACCATTTTGAAAAGATACAAGAATCGTCAAACTAGTCACTAGTTTAATGTTTTTTTAAGTAATTTTTTGCTACCCATGGTTGTTTATAGAGCAAAGAAACTTTACCGATCTTACCAAAAAAAAAATAATGGTAACATGTTGCTATGGAAACCATAAAAATATCAAAAAACAGCAAAAACAGGTTTCACGCTATCCAATATTGTGGACAGAAAACAAAACAACCCTAGTTGAAATTTTTATATGGTGTTTATATAGAGTAGAAGAGTGTTTTAAGTTGAACAGAATTTTTTTTACTATTTTAATTTTTGGTATTTTGAAGTCAAAGTCCAATATTCAATAATATGGTATTAAGTCAGCATAAACAGCAGGTGTAAAGAAAAAAACAAAAAAAAACAAAAAAAAATTAAAACACTCTAAACCATTATAAAATATCCACTGAAAATTTAGAAACGGTTCTTGAATGGTTGGCGAGCAATGTTGGACGGCGTCTGAAATACTTTATACTGAGAAAAAAGCAAATTAACATTTTTTTTTATTAAACAAAACTAAAACATGTAAAAAAACAATCATTAACTTCTTTAAACCTAAAAATAGTATGAAAAATACTCCTGGTTTATAGGTTATACTCTCTTTTTCAAAATTATTATCATTTAAAAATTTTTTTTTGAACTATTTAATTGTTGTCTCTTAATTAAATATAAAAAATAAAACTTAATTTTTTCATTCATTTTATAATTAGATTGTTTTATTCTTTAATTGTTAATTAAATTGGAACCATTAACCATGAAAGCACCTGGTAATATGTTTAATTGTTCAAAAACTAACACTAAAACTTTCATACCAATATTAAAGTTTACTACGGCATTGTACACACCAAATTTCAAATTATCGAGTGATACATACCTGTCTTTGGTAATCAATCCCAAATCATACTGTTGAACAACTCAATAGCATCCCACACATTCTAACTTGTTAACTGGAATACCAGAGTGACATTAATGAAACCTTTAATGTCCTCGTCTCCTGAAAAATTCACATATGGCAATTTTTACTTTTCAATAGATCTTAAAAATACAATTTTTTCACCAGTGGTCTCCATACCGCTTGCAGATCCTTTGTAATTATTATTACAAATGTGAGAGTTCCTCCATTGGGAATAGGCTGTAAATTTTGTTTTTAAAAATTCTTTCTTCAAAAAGCAACCTTTGCAGAACCTGCACATTGGTTCCACATTCAAAATTTTTCAAGTGTCATTGATAATGCAGAAAAGACACCGTTTAATGATGTAAACGGTGTCTTTTCTGCCAAGTACCACCACAAGACACACTAATATCAAAAACTTAAACATTACCAGCATTTTTACGCAATTCTGCTGCTGCATCAAACATGATATCTTTAGCAACTTTTTGTGTGAAAGCACCTATTTGCACAGGTAGTTTGTCATAATTATTTTGTGTGATTAGTTGTGGCATATTTATTAAAATGGTGAATATTTTTATACCAGAATGTTCGTGTTCAAGTGCACCCATTGTATATACTGTTCTACAATTAATATCATATTTTCTGTTACATTGTTTTAAAATATTAAAGTCATTTTCATATTTCCAGTTAAAGCAACTAATAAGTAACTTTGAGGCAAGTCCTTTTTTGTCTTGAACTTTTTCGGACAATGACAAAGATAAACACTTGCCACATTGAGGGCATGCTAAAGCACTAAATATATTAGATAATATAGAGCAATCTAAAATCCTATATCCAGATATTTTCATTCTTATAAATGCTCTGGAACATTGAATTGGCTTTACCTTCTTTACAGATACAGATGTAGAAAATGAATTTAATCCAGATTTGTTATTTACAGAGTCATTATTAACAATTGCAGTATTTGAATCAATTAAAATTGTTACAGCAGGGTTATCATTCAACTCCATTTTAGTATTTTCTTTGTCAAGACTGTAGTAAGAACTTGCGTGATTGGCCTGCACCCGTCAAAGATTTTTCTGATTAGTCTAGCATCCCTCACACCATCAAAAGTCAATTAAAAGTGTCTTTTGAGGGGTGCAGATCTATCAAAAACATTTTTGAAGGGATATTAAAAAAAAAGTAATATTAAAATAGCGCTTCTTAAAAAAATGAAATGACATGTCAAAATCAAAGAAATAAACAAAGTTAATAATTTACTTGTTAACGACAAAAAATGTTATTCAATATTTAATTTTGCTTTAAAAATTGTTAAAAGTTGAGGGATGCTGGAGCACCCTTTGAACCCTTCTGGATCCGCCCCTGTAGGCTCTGGTTTAAAATAGCATATTTGAATTTCTTTAAAAAAAAATTTATTTATTACTTTAAATACAGGTTTAGTTCAGGTTAAAAGTTATATGATGTTTCATAACGCATTATTTTCATTGAATTTCCATAAAATTATAAAAAAACGATAATTCTTTCTTATCTAGGGTTGCCATATCTCTGGATTTTAAGGCAAAAAATAATGCTCCGGGGGATTTCCGAAAAAAACACGAAATAATTTTTTAAAGGTTGTTATTTAACTTTTATAAAAATTCGATATTTAATACTTAAATTTTTATACTTAAATGTATAGAACTGAAAATGTAAAAACTATTAAATTTAAAATGTTTTTAGTCACTAACAATTTATTGAAGATGCTCACACAGCACGTGTTCTCTTCTCTTAATTACACAACATTAAAAAATGCACGCGCATCTAAACTTACAAAAGCAAAAGTTGTGACCGTTAAGGTAATATAGTATTTTGGTTGCTGCTCACAAGAGATAGTTCCTTTAATTTAAAGTTTTAAAGTAAAAGAACTGCTGCACTCGGCGGAGGTGTATTTGATTCACGTGTGATTAAAAAGATGATTTATTTTAGCCGTTTTTTAATTGAAATTAATTAAGAAAAGCTATCCTCCCCTAACCGCATAAATCAAAAACACCTCTGCCCTGCACTCAATAATTTTGTCTAAAAAAAAACATTTCTAGTTTAAGAAATAGAGGAATGAGTGTGAAGCCAAATTCAAAATATACCAAGCTGATCATTTATTTATGTTTCTCCCAAAGATAAACAAATTACCTTATGTTAGTTTTATTTATCTAATTCATTTTACAATCATAATTAAGCCAAGGTTATGTAAATTATGTAACCTTTGAACTGTTAATAGTCTCAATAACAAGAGCTTTAAGTTGGATGAAACTTAACAGTATCTCTATTTGAGATAAAGTTGAAGACTTAATTGTAAACAAAAAAGCCCCTT